TTTCTTCACTTTTATTTAAATATGAAGTCTCCTTTGCCTGTGCATCTTTATTTTGTGCTCTTAAAATGATTCATGGCACTGTGGGACCCTGTTCAGACATCTGATCCAATGCGATACTGCCATGGGTTACTTTGCTCTCATTTCCTGGTTGGAGGGTGAAGATGACTGGAGATGCATCTCCTCTGAGATTTGAGGTGAAGTATTTCTTCATAAGCTGTGGAAGGCTTATCAATCACTAAATGACAGTCTGTTCTTCAGCAGAGCTGCATTCCCTATTTTTGTAGCTACAAAAATATAAACCAAAAAGGTTTAAAGCAAGTTCAGAGTGTCTAAACAAACATCCAAAATGATCTTTTGCTGAAAGAAAGGACAGAATTAGTGAGACTTCATGTCATTTCCTATAGGAAAGGCAGATGTCATTTTGTTGAGATTCTGGAAGCATTAAGATGTCGCCTTGTCAGATAGTGTAGCATTCTGTTCCAGATTCAAAGCCTCATGAAGTCAGGAGGCTTTCTTCCATTATATTAGTGGGTTTTGGATCAAGTTATAAATATTTGGTGCCTAGGCTATATTTTCCCTAGAGAAAAAGAAAGTCTTCCTTCAAGACTCATATTAACTAGGAATGGATGTTTAATGCAGGCAAAGCTGTTTGATGTCTTTGTGCTAATATAGTGTATAGTATATCCACAAATTCACCTTTGGACTCTGGTCTCCTATACTCTGTCATTATTCCTTATGCTAAAATGATCCCTGCCCAAAGTGTAGACCCTGTTCTGCATTGCTTCGAAATAACAGATGCTGGAATCAATTTTGACAGCTATAGGTCACCACAGGGCATGCATTATGCATATTGTTAGTGAAGAATAACATTTTTGAACCTCTGCACAAAACTCTGAGGGTCATTCAATGCCGTTTATAGATGTAGAGCTGCAGTAAGGAATACAAGTAGTTTATATGTTCTCATAATCTCACATATAATGGGTATTCAAACTTATTATGTACTATGTTAATTCTAAAATGAAGTCATTCTTCTTCCATGACTCAGAACTATGAGATAAAATACTCAAATGTTTTGTATGGTTTATGAAAGGTTTTATTTTTCTATAACAAAGCCAAATCGGTGCTGTGTAAACTGTGACTCCAGCATGCTTTCTCCTTTTTTCTCATGAGCTACAGTTTAAATCACCAATTTGTGTTAGGTCTGTGACCCAGAGCTTGGCTATGAAAACTTTTCTAAGAATCTGGGGGTTTTCCTGATTTTTAACTGAAGTAAATTTGAGTTATTTATTGGCGGAATAATACTTCAGTTTTTTGATTACAAGGTTGGAAACTGCCAGAATGGTTTTGCACCGGTGGGATTCTTAACGTTAATTATAATAATGTATGGCTGAAATCCTGACCTTGTCATATGTGTTGGAAGTTTATCTGCTTTAAAACATGTTCATTAATAGCATTTATGTGCCAGATATGTTTTCAGAAGTTGTTTTGGCAGTTGTCAGATACTCTCAGTACTGTAGCTATGTACGTTATAATGACAGTGCCTCTAATGCTTATCATATTTCACATTTTAGTCATTAATGGATTTCTATACTGTTTCTATCACAAATAATCCATAATTACACTTAAAACATTTCAGGTTTCTGTAATGTACTGTTTTTTCTTGTCTGTGTTGTTATATTACAGCAAGTACTCAGGATTCTTAATGAGTATATTTGTGATGAATCCGTGTGCCAAGTAAGAATGAAATTTCAAGATGGTCTAGGAAAATTTTGTCTGTCTGAACTTCAGTAAAGTAGTTGGTGTACTGCCTCAGAGGAATTGATCTGTAATGAGAGGAGGCTAAAGAACTTAGCTTGTTTAGCCTAGCAAAAATGAAGGTTAAAAGGGGTATGATTGCTCTCTATAACTACATTATGAAAATCAATGCAGACAAGGAAAAAAACCTATTCTGACAGCTGCCTCTAGGTGGAAATAAGTTGGCCATGAACTGACTTACACTGGAAAGTAGAAGATTCTAAATGCTCAGAGAATAAAGTTCTAAAATTAACAGTAGGAACAAACAAATGAGTTTTAGGATAAGCTTGCTAAACAGCTGAAAGATTGGATGAACTGTTTCCTGTGATAATGCTGGATGGGACTTGATCCAGCCATGGTGTACTTTGTATGGAGGAGGTGAAAGGCTGACCAGATTCTGACCATCTCAGTGTTAATCTGTTAAACTGTTTCTGGGCTACTATTATAAAATCTGTATTTATATGGTAAAAAGAAAGTTGAGTATTCTGTTTGGAGCTCTTTGACTCTTCACCACAATTTATGAACTTTCCTGTACCTTATTTATTTTTTCCATGCTTAACAGTGATATAAGGGAAGTTCAGTGAGAGGAACATTCATTCATGGAAAAACAGTTATTCTGGAATAGTATGCATCTTTTTCTGTTTGATTGATTCAAATATTTCATTTAGTCTTTTGTTCTGGGGAAAAATGTTTAAAATCCTGTAACAGGGACAGATCCTTTTGATGATATTTTCACAGAATGAGTGAACACCGTAGTTTGCACATTCACTGCTTTTGCTCAATACAGGCTGTCTATGCATGTCTGGTATTTCTGATACTGAAAGGAATATATTCTCTGTGACTCAGACACTCCTGTTGTTGGAAAGCGAATTTACCTTCAGTTATTGTACTTAAACGTGCAAAGTACTTTTCAGAATCTGAGTCAAATCTAATGTGTGCTCTAAATAATTACCACCAGGAAATAATTTCACTTGTTCATATATACATCTTTGATAAGTGGCCTTGAAGCTTGCACATAGTATCATTGCTAAGGTGGGTGAAAGAAAATAATACAGATATTAATGAAATCAGCAATCTTCATTTGTACTATTGCAATGTAGAGGAATCCTAGCCATGTATTCCTGTTATTCCAGGTGCTGGTTTCTGTAGTTCTGGTGATAGTGCATGTGAATTGTGCTAGGCGGTGTCTATTCATGGCAAAGACAACACTGAGCACAAAGAAAGAATTAGACTGAAGACAACAATTGGATAAAAGTAGGTAGTAACATTACAGTAGAAGACTAAGATTTGTTGGTCACCACAGTAGAGAGCGGCTGTAGCACATCAACACTGTAGTTGTCACAGTTTCTGTAGGCATTAGAGCAAAGAAGTTTTAAGAAGAGATCTGAAGCAAGATAATGAACTCTGTTAAGACGAAGATCCTAACCTGAAAGCCTGTTTAAATAAACAGGATTATTTCTAGTGATGTAAAGAGGTGTTAGATCAAATCTTCCAATGTTGTATCTGTCAAGGGAATTTTGTAATCAAAATTGCTGTAGGATTTTACAGAATTAGGCATACTGAACTACACGCAAGTATTCTAGGCATGGTGTGTTTTAGCATGATTGATCCTGTGTTACCTTTTGAATAATTCTGCTAGTTGACGCAGCACGATTTTTTCCCATGTTCTCTTCGCCTGGTTGTCAGAGATGTCAATAATCGTAATTACCAGTAAAAGAGAAAAAAGAAATCCTTTTGCCTGTGTTTATGATTAATAATTTCTGCAGTACAGTATCTTTAAAAAAGAGGATTTGCACTGAAAAATGCAGGAGAGCGTTTTTTTATTATCTTCTGATGAGATCAATATAAAGGTGGTTTCCATATATATCACACTAAAAATGTGATTAACCAAATCGTCTGATGCAAGGTTTCCTAACATGAGTAATTTTTTGTTCATTTGTTTTGACTTCTAAGTATCTTTCTAAGATGAGTGCATGCAAACATGCACATACTGTTTTTCACTATGCAGAGCTATCACTTAAGAGAAAGTTTTCAGCTTTGAGTACATACTTGTATGCAGCGTTGCCTCTATTTGCCACAAAATAGATGCAACATTTGTTGATGCTGAATCAGTATTTGAAAGCATGATAACCTTCAGTTGAGAAATAAAGCAAATTCTACTAATTATTAAGTGGAATAATGGCTTACTAATAATTAGGTGCTCATTTTAAGTATGCCAGATAACTTGAAGGAATAGGAAAAGTTATGGTGTCATTTGGGTTGAGTAACATAAGAGCTGCTATTAGTTTGCTTAATGTTTCATCAGCACTTTGGATTAGTATTTATTCTTAAATACAGAGTAGTAGTTATTGAAGGTGACCTCTTTCATGTTTCATGCAATTTAGAGGAGATGATGGATATTTGTATTTCTTGCCACTTAAATTACAGTAGTGATCCTGCAAGGTCTCTTCTAGGGCTGCTGATCCTTTGTTGTTAGGATTAAGTTAATCATGACTCTCCAGCAAGAAATTGATTAAATATGGCAGCCCAGCTGCCTTGACTTTGCATGCTTTCACTCTTACTTGTATCTATTAATATACGTTCTTACAGAATCTTAACCAAAAGCTTTCTGGTTAGGTTTGCTAATGGATATGCCCACTTAATTGTAGCAATTTTTAACGTCCCATGTACAGTTAAAAACAGGGAAATAATTATATCAAATTTTATTTAAATAGAGAGTGAGAGTAATTAAAAATAGATGTATTTTGTTAAAATGATACTTTCCATGGCAGTATAGAGTGTGGAAAAAAATGCTTTTCTAAAAGCTGGAGAAGCTTAGAAGGATTGTCATCCTTACTCTTTTGGTCATGTTCACATCGGTAGTAAGGCTTTTTGATAATATTGATCTAAAACTGGTAAGATTATCCAGTATCCAATGTCTTCAATATTAGTTCATCACAGTTTTTTGCCTTGAACTACAAAGATAGCCTTAATATAGCTATTAAGCTATTATTAATATAGCCTGGGGTGCACAAGTAGAGGAAAGAGCTTCCATCGACATGAAATCAACTTTACCCCAAGGACAAGGGAGGGCAAAGATGTTTTTTCAAAGTAGTTATTTTTTATTATGTTGTATATGGTATAGTATTGTAGAGTTTATACATTTTCATTAGCTTAAAAGTATATGCTGACTTTTATTTTTTTTCTTTTCTTTTTCGTTTGTTCAGGTTTACCAAAAATGCAAGTCATTCGAAACTACAATGGAATACCACAGCCAGCAACACAAGATGGTCCACCATTGCATATCCAGATTGGGGACACTATTGAACTAATTAGAGGAGATGCACATAGCTTATTTTGGCAGGTATTGTATCATTTATCAAATGGCTATATTCCATTAGTCCCAGATATTTATTTTTAATTAATATATCGCTCTTGGAACTTCTTTCCTTTTTGAACAACAAAAGAATATCTCTACGTTTTATCCAAAATATATGTCTACTTTTACTTTTAAAGTGCCAGAGTTCCAATATTGTGTAAAGTTTCATTCTTGCAGCCGTAGAGTAAAAGTCAGGGTGAATAAATCTGCAAGAACATGGCATTGGTAGCAATCCTTCTAGAGAAAGCATAAGAGTTAAGAAGAGCGTTTCCCACATAAACAGTGAAGTCCTGTGAGTTTTCAGTCACTGCTTCTCTAATGTGGCAGAACTAAAAGCTATATTGGCAAAACGCAGTTACAAATCCTAGATTTATAGGAGAGAGAAAGAGCTCTGCAAAACAGAACTACAACTAAACTTCTTGATGACCTCTCAAGTCGGTTAAGGAGACTTTTTTATGTACATGGGAAAAGGATATTCTATTGATGACAAAATTCAGTATCGTGTGATTCACATCACTACTACTATTACTGAAATTTCTTTTTAACTGAGAACTATAAACATATTTAAAATGCTGTCCTGCATTCATTTTAAAGATAAATGCCTTAAAGCAGGCTTCATTTTTTCTAGTTTGTTTTCTTTATAGTATGTGCTAGTAGTACGCAGGGTTCTGATATTATTGGATAAATGGAAATAGAGCTAAATAGAAGAACTTTCAGGGTATTAGTGGAACAACTGGGAAGCATTTGTCATTGCCTTGCATTGTTTTTCTTGCGTTTGTGATTCTCTTTTCTTTGAGGCAATAAGAAGTTAGTTAATATAATTATAAAAACTGCTTGGTCTGTTACATGAGTTAGGTCATACTTTTTTTTTTTTGCTGGCTTCAGTTAGGATTGAATCTTCTCCAAACTCTTTAGGACTGGATCAGTGAATTCTGCATCATCCTCAGCAACATTTTTCCGAAGGGAAGTAGGAAACGATAGAATTGCTTCATGTATTAAAAAGTAAATAACTGTAACACCCTCCCTCCAACCTCCCCTTCCCTTCCCTGGTTATTTAGTAGACCAAAGATATTTCACACAGCTAGCAATAATTTTTTTTTTTTTTTTTCAAACGTTGGTTAGCAGATTTTGGCCTATCAAGTTTTAAATGTAGGGCTTGACTCTGCAAAGTCTTGAGTCCTGATCCAGAGAAGCATTTAAGCACGCTTTTGAATTGGGACTGACTAGAAGGTAATCATCTGAGTAATACAATTAGTACAAGCCAGACTTATTGGCACCATGTGGGATTGATTCTGTTGCCTTGTTCATACGCATACGTCAAACTCAATCTACTGGAATTTGTCTTAGATGTTATTTGTACCTATCATGCTAAAGAATTTAGCTGAATCTTGCTATGTTTAACTAGCAGAAACTGGGAAGTGTGTGAGGCTTTTTCCCCAGAAGCCTTAGTAATAGATTTGAATCTTAATGGAAATTGTCATCTCTATTAGCATCATTCAGGAATTTCTTTTCTCATAAGATGTCTTGTCACAGACTGCTTAATACAGATTTTCATAAGCCTTGTAATGACATCTGCATTAAAGTGCATATTAAGAAAAAAATCTGCAAAACACAATTTGTATTAAAATCTTTTAAGTTTTATTCAAGAGGTGTTTTAGAATAATTTACAACTGTCCTGCAAGACTAATAGGAGAATGGATTTTCAGTTTGACCATTGCTCAGTTTAGAAATTCAAATGCTTGTAATAGAGAAATATGTGTGGTCTAAGTATAATTTTTTCATTCTTTACAGTACATCAATTAAGCACTATAGCTTGAGTGCAATTAGATGTGTTCTGATAGACATTAAAATTCTGCTATGATAATATTTGAATGATTATATAGCAATTATTGTGGTAAGTTCTGTAGTAATTCAAGACCATGTACACATTTAGATTTACCTGTTATGCAGTCTGGAAAACAGATTTATGAGATTTTTTTTCTTTATGAAACAACAAATACTTCTCTGAGAGGCAAACTGAGCAATCACAGAGACAGTATGATGGCTGGGACAAGCATTTCCGAATTCCATGAATTTGCTTTCTGCTTCTTCACCCAAGCTTTTTTCAAAGAGAATGTGTAATATAGGGGGGTTGATACTGTCACAGGTTACTGTCCTCAGTAAACAACTGACTGCAAATAAAAAGAAGGGTGGTCTTATGCTGATTTTCATACACCCCTTGTGTGTGATTGCTTTTCCTTGCTCAGTCAAGGTGCAAGACTAGGAACATGCATGCTCCTTGCCTTGCTGGTGCTTGGCTAACATCACTTGCAGAATGAAATTCGAAAAGGAAGAGGGACTGAGGGTGAGAGTGGAGAAATCTTGGTGTTTTTAATGGAAACTTCAGACCCCTTAACCAGAGCACTGCTAGTTGTTTCAGCTATAGTAGTGCAGCTTTGAAGTAGTCAGATTTTTATTATAGATGTGAATATATCTCTCCTCTCCTGAGTTTGGTTTGAGTAAATTGGTATCTGCTTAACCTGAGGGTAGGCTTTCAGGGGTGCCACAGTACTTACCATAAGATATAATGTAATTCTAGTTTCACAGGCTTGCATTGCAATTACCCACCACCCTCAGGCAATCATGTTTCTCAAATATTCTAAAAGAATACAGATATTTCCTGTACGGATTCTTTCCTTTTTCAAAACCAGCTTTTCTTTGATGCAGATTAAACCCATATCAAGTAATAGCTATTACAGTTGTACTTTCAGTAGTTAGAGGTCCTGCTGTAAACAGCCACAAGGCCTTAAGTATATTGTAAGTATACTTATGATATAAAATTGAAATGTTGGGAAGGCAGCACTGTAAAAGTACCTTTTTTTTTTCTTTTGGTTTGTAATTTTTCATCTGTCTCCTCTCTTCACCACGCTTTGCAAGCAAACAAACAACAACAAAAAAAATGAGTGAAGGACATGATAACTTATAAATTTTAGCTATTCTGGAGTTTGAGTTCTGAGTACGTCCGATGGAGTTATGGGCATTACATAGCTAAGTAGCAGGCAGCAGTCTGGATGTTTAGAGCAAATGTATCAAATGGTTTCAGAAAGTCTCCCTCATTAAAACAGGTACAAGAGTTGTGAATCAGCCTCTAGTCTTGCTGAGACTGTCATTGACAGAAATGGACTGAGGGATTTCACTTGCCCTTATATATATGGAAATATATTCACCCATACACACGCATACATGTAACATATATTTTAATATATAATAATTTAGAAATACAATGTAATAGTACATACATAATATACATTTTAAAACTAGTTCTGTCCAGTCCTTTGCTTCTGCATTTGTAATGACCATAAGCCATTACAGGGCAGCCTTCAAGGGAAATGCTTACTCATCAAACAATAAGCAATTAGCAAGCATGAATGAGAAATGATTAGTAGATGTGAAGTACGGTGGTATAGTAATATTGTGGTTGTTAATGACTTAATGGGTAGATCTTAGATTTTGAAATCATCATCTGACAACCTAGCTAAGATTTCTAAAGTAAACAAAACCTAGTGTCCAAAGGACATTATCAAATTATTCATGTGAGCTCATTATCAACAGAGCATTTTAAAGTGAGCTGTTTCCTTCAGCAATGTGTAATAAATCAAACCCTGTTCTGTTTAAGGATTTGCGTTTATTCAGCAAATATCTCCAGTTATCTCCTGTGAAGCTTGTCTTCAGAAAACAAAGCCTTTCTTGAGTTGTCTCATTGCTTTTTACGTTCATGGAGCTGCTCAAAATGCAAAGGCAAAGTTTTGCACTGGTCACAGTACTTGGGGATATTTTGTGTGGTGAGAGAGCCCATGTGATTTCTGTACTGCTGCTTTTGCTTTGGCCGTAGTGTACTGTCCATAGAATGTATATGTTGCTTTTAGCCTCTCCTAGCCCAACGAAGCGACGCGTCTGTGTCTCACAGCTGCACAGAACAGCACCTTCCAACAGGTGGTGACATCGAAGGAAATTGTAGGATTGTTGCTTGGGCAGAGAGTATTTCTCAACACTGTACCTCTCACATGTGTCTGTCCACTGGTGATGTAGCTTCTTACCACTTCATTTCCATGAATGCTCAGTGTTCTCCATATGATTCAATTTTGCTATAAGAGCCACTGACTTCTTACCTACAGAATACTTGAAGTGAAAGTGCACATATATGTTATTACATTATAGCCTATGGATTGCAGTTCAGTTTCCGTACTCTGAATGTGTATGAATTAAAATGTCTGCATTATGGTAATTATTTAATGGGTATGGACTATAGCTAATCTCATGATCTTTGCTGCTTGACTGGGTTTCTAAGCTGCGATTCATATCACTGTGTACTGCAAGCAGTTATTTAAGCCAGGTAACGTAATGCTGGCTCTACATCGTATTGTCCCATGGTCTGGTCTTTCTGTACGTGCTGCAGTTTCTTCAGTGGCTGTAATGTGGCTTTATTCTTTTCATTTGATATCATAGAACAGCTCAGTTTGGTATGATTCAGTGCAAATCGAAGCTAGCTTTCATTCTAAATTTCAGGGTGTGCAAATACATTTCTGGAAAAATGTAAGAGATAATGCTGTAAGTATCCAGACTGTGTTTCTGACTTGCAGGACGAAGCACTAAAACATTATGAAACACTATTGAACATTTGAAATTATGTCCCTTTTTGCACTTTCAGAAGGTAACACATGGGTCTGTCCCTGAACTCATCAAATTTTGCTTCTTTGCTGCTTTCTAGTTGTTGTGGACATATGTTGCACCATGTGTCATCTTATTCAGCTTCTTTCATGTTATATAAGTATTTCTCATGAGTAGCGATGCTGTGTGAGCATATACAAAACTAATGTTTTAACTGTGCTCCTTCAAATGCTTTTTCTCAATCACGTATTTTATTCAGTGGCTGTCCTTACTGACTCTGATATCACTTGCTTTTCAGATAAGAGTAGTATTGTAAATAAGTATCACTTAAATGGGAGACTGTGTCAGAGCTCTGCTTGTAAGTTAAGTCTGTACTTCACAGATTTTGTTTCGGGAGTAAATAGAATATACGGATGCAAAGGGTAACGTGTATTCAAGCAGATAGTGGGAAAGAGGGCAGGGAAACTTTGCTGAACTCAGGTTCAGATCTGTAAGATTGTCACTTGTTTATGCATAATTCTTTTTTTAATATCATCTCCATTCAGCATTATAGCTTAAATACTGCCTAACTGCTTTTCTCTCTCTTCTGCCTTCTCTGCGCTTCTCTGTATATTTGGTAAAGATGGCAGTTACTGAGTTTACTACCTCTGTGTGATAAATAGCATAATGATCTCCCTAGGAAAACGATGCACTCAGTTTTTGTGCTTAGGGTATTACAATCAAAATTAACTAAAACCCCAAAGAAATTCCATGTCTCTTTCTGAAGCATTTTTCCCGTTTTAATTTTTTGTGTTGCAGATATGCCATCAAAAATAAAAAATAAATGCAATTTAAAAAATTGCGATGCTTGTAAAGTACTCTTATTGCCAAAAGCTGGTCATATGTTACATTAAATTTAATAGAGGTTAGGCATTTAAATTCTTTTTAAAAATCTGTTAGATGAAAACATTTGTTTGCCAAAATACACGTTCAGATTCCTTGATTTTATGTATCTGTATTTAGAAATCACGTGTTCTTGTTCTGCTCTGAAAACTGTGGTCAGCATGGTCACAGCCAGATTTTTTTCTAGGACTAGAAAGGTGTTTTTATTTTGCCATTCTGTCTGAGGAGCTGTTCTTCAGGTGAGCTTGGTGGTGAACTGTGAGCTGCTGAGGCATAGCTCTGTGATGATCAGGTCACTTTTGGCCCTTAGAAGTAGAGAGTCAATTGGTGGTCCTGCAACTTTGGGGCAGCAGTTATGAAGCATAAAAGACTCGGGTTAGGGTTAGAGTGAATGCATTTCTGCAGCTGCTCTCCCAGTTGTGTGAGCACATCTACATGTTGTGAATATATCATAGACAGAGTTGATCTTTAATTCTGTTAATACTTTTGTGCCCACCTGACTTCCAATGATTTGCATCACATATGGAAACTCTTAACTATAGAACTTTGTATCTGAGTTGACTGATGGATGATTAGCCCAAAGCTCCCATTGGAGTTAGCATGATTTCTCAGGTGCTGCAACTGCCACTGCATGGGGGTGTAGTAATTTTGGGGATCTGTAATGTTGCAATATGGCAGCGCTCAATAGAGTGATGCCAACTGAGGAGGAAGTAACTGGAAAGGAGACAATTAACATTATTGAAGACATCAGGCACTGGCAGACATTGACAGAACTGGGAATTACAACCCAGGCTCTGAGCCCTCTTCTTGCACCTCATCTCTCAGAGCTCTTAGGTGTATCAGCTATAATTATTACTTAATTATATTAAATTAAAAAAAAAACACAGCAAAAACACAGAACTATTGAGTAACATTTCATTAGAACAGCATTTTATTTTAAAGACTCTTTGACATACTCTTATTGTCCTAAATCTTTGTGCGTGTATTATTATTTAGTATTAATCCCCATTATGTCTCAAAACCAGAATTTTTCTTTTTTCTAGGGCAGAAATCTAACAACAGGAGAGCTTGGATTCTTCCCAAGTGATGCAGTGAAGCCTAGTCCATGTGTAAGTACAATTATTTAATTCTGTTTGTCATCTTACAGAAAAACTGCCTAGTTCATACCATTGCTTTATTAATCTTACCTTATGAGAATCATATTGTTTCTAGTCCCTTTGTGTTTTCATGATATGTTCAATATTTTTTAAAATATAGCATTCTAATACTTTTGGTTTTCAGATGTAAATAGTACACGTCATGAAAACTTGTTTGAGAAGCAGATTTAACTTTTGGGAATATTAATAAATTGAACTGTCTGAAGAGTTTCTAGGGTAGAAAACAAATACATTTTGTGTAAAAAGTGCACTTTCTTTCTTCCTCAGCAGTAAGGTGGGAATGCTGTGGTTCTAATCTGTTCTTCAGTCACATTGGATTAGAGAGAGAGATTACACCACAAGTAGTGAGTTTAAAAATACATAAGAGTAAAACTAATAGAAAACTTTGAATTCAAACTGCTTGATAGATTTCCTCCTCTCTGTAGGTTGTTATCTGCCATTTTTTCATACAAAGGTGTTGTCAATCTAGAAAAGTTCAGGATAACAATAAGAAAAACTATTTTATGATATGTATACAAGAGTTTTGTATACTGATGTAATGATGCATTAATATACCGTATGCTTGCTACTTCAATCTCTGCCCTCCATAACACTGTGCATCAGATTACTATATGTTCCTTTGTTGAGGTTAATTGATGTAAACCCATAAAACCAGTGATGAATCATATTCCTTACTTTGCTTTAAGACAGCTTTTACTTCTGTCTTGATTTACAGCACTTAGACTTATTCATACAATTGCTTTCTTTACAGCAATCAAGATATGCCACTTAAATGGTTTGTAAGTAGGTGGAATCTATTAGTGGCTGCATTTTGATATGCCTTTAAGACTTACATTGTGCCTTAGTTTCTAAAACAAATACACATATGATCCTAAAGAATACAAATACCTTAGTGTATCTTGAGACATCTTTAGTACCCTATATTTCCAGAATTTTGTTTGAAGAGGCATGCATAGAATATTCGTAGATAAAAGGCGTGTTAGATTGGGTGAGAGAAGAGATCTGGAATAAAGATGAAGATGTTAGGATGTGAAGTTAACTTTCTTCCTTTCACCCCTTGCTTATTGTAAAAGCTGTGGATTTCCCGTGCCATGGTGTCACTGTGCTGGACACAGGCAGTACCTGCTGTGCATGGCCATTAGGTTCTTGGAGCCACCCAGTCAGTCATTGTATAGTGCCATTGACAGCAGCTGTAGCAACTTTTTAGGAACCACCACTATACTTTAAAGCAGAGGAATTGTAATATCCAAAGTTAGGAAAAGTGCTACTGGGATGTTGTGAAGATTGCTTTTTAGTGATAAGGCTTTCTGCTAGATTTAGAAATATACTATTTAGAGGAGTATTGAAAATAATACAGTTTTACAGAATGAATAAATATTATTCATGAAATGTTACCAACTGATGTCATGATCAGAACAAAAAGATAAATTGATGCTTTACCACTGTTAACTTGGAAGGATGAAATATAAACATCTTATTATGATAAATGATGCAGTTAAAGATACTGAAACATCAATCAGGTTTTAAACGTGCTATAACTTTTACTGTTATTATTAAGTCTAACAGTCTTTACAACCAGCTGATATAAAAATGCCCAGAAACAGCATAAAATACATACATCAAAAGACTTCAGGAATGAATATTGAATGAAAAACTGCTGAGCTCCAGAGTATCTATATTGCACAATTCTCACAGATGTACCTATAAACAATTTTTTCCTCGTTGCAATAAGTAGTATATGTCAGCAGACATTTTCTGCACCATATGAGTAATATCTGGTTCTTCCTAGCTTTCTTCCAGTTTTCCCATTTCTGTAGAGGCATTGGATACATAGCAAAGTATGAGCTCAGTGCTTTTGGAATAACATTTGTGTTTCATGACAATGAACAACACTTGTTTTATATATATCTGTCCATTCGGATTTTCTGAGAAGGGCTACCTATCTGTTGTTTAACTGCTCTGAAGGATGGACTTAAATTGTCTTTAAATTTTTATATCCTTTTCAACATAGTAGGACTACGAGACAAATTAAGAATGTTTATTTTTTTAAACTATTCTTTCTCCTCCTGCTGCTGATGGAATGGATGTTATTTAATTAGTCCTCTGGGGGATAATACAAATCATTAAAGGTGGAATTCTTCTGCAGATGAAATGTATTATTGAAATATCTCACAGCATGTGAAGGCTCTGTAAGTGCCTAGTTGGCCTTAAAATGTCTCATTTGGTCACTTCACCAAAATGTTTCTTGTTGGTATTCTTTGTCAGCACATTCATAATCTGTTAACTATTTTCCAAGTCTCACCATTAGAAGCAGAGGAGCCTCAGTAACACCCTCAGTAGCTGTAGGGTTATGAAGTGCCACTGCTGCTGCCACTGTTAGGCCCCTACACTACACATCAGAGGGGTTTGCACACCACTAGCACTACAAGTGCTACTATTTGAGAGCCCTTTGTCTACACTATTTGGGAGTAATGCAGGTTTCCTTTTTCTCTCTCAAGAACTAGACTAATTTAATGACTGCTTTAACACCTGGATAGTTTTACTGTTATTCAAGCTGAACATGTGACACTGTTTTTATCACAGAGAACTTGGGTGTGTTCCACACTAGTGCCTGCTTTGTTACTTAGAAAAAAAAGTCTAAGTTTTGGGCAGTCCTGTACAATTCATTAAAATCTTGGTTGAGAGGCATTTGAGTAAGTGGTTATGTATTTAGTCTGAGTGACCATTATGTCAAAGGCATATGGTGAAGTTATAACAATTCTTACTTGTTTCAGTTATTTAGTAATTTTGCATTTCAGTAAGTGTTTTTTGAGGAGGTTGCAAGATAACATGTTACCAACACAAGTGGTTGCAAATAGCACGTTCCTCTGTACACTTCCTCTACTCAGACCCTCTGCTGTCATTTAGCTTACAGTATCTTCCTATTCTGCTCATACAAAAGCTGCTGCTTGCTATCTCAGCAATACTGCTGGAATATCCTATAGCATTTTGGACAGGTTAACACAAACCTTTTGTCTTACTTGGCAATTGCAACTTTAACTGCAGAATACTGTGATGGAATACACAGGGAGGTGGATTGCTTGGGGTTTTTTGTGTGGGTGGGGTTTTTTGTTTTGTTTGGTTTTTGGGCCTTTTGGGATGGTGCTTTTTTTGTTCCATCACTGGCGTTTGTTTCAAGGTCAGGTCTAGAGACTTCATATAGAGATCTTGGTTGATACCTGAGGTCAACTTAGTGGGAGTTTTAATTTATTTCAATTTCAATTAACTTAACCAGCCTGTATCTTCCTGAGTTGATCTGTGTTTGGAAGTCTCTGTTGATGACATTCCATGAATCATTAATATTCTTCTCATTTTTTTATTTCTGTATTTTTTTTGCTATTAGATTCCAGAAAAAAAATTCTTTGTCTTTACTGAAAGAAAAGAAAAATTACATATCTAAGAATATATGACATTAGTTTTTAAATCTGCGAGATGTATGCCAAGCTTCCACTAAAATAAATTTTTCACAACGTTACAAGTTTAACACATTGTTTTAGTAGAGTAGGGTAATACTGAAGTATCATACACCAGTAGGAGATGGTTGAGATGAAATGCTGATTTTCATGGGGATTGCCATACTGTGTATATTGCGCATGTATAAACATTATTGTTGCACATGTTTAGAAATACATATAACATCCATTAAGCAAACTAGAATCAGTTCGCAAATTTTTTTTAAATTGAATTTGAGAATCAAATTCCATGCTTATTAAAATCCAGTACAAGAGTTAACCAAGTCAAATACAAAGGTATGAATAATGTCATACAATACAATCTATGGATTGTCCTCAACTTTCAGAAGATTATAGATTCCATCTCTTAGCAGTCTTTCTAAGGCCATCCATGAAGTGTTTTTCATACGTGTTACTATAGATCTGTTGCACATTGCAATGATACTTTTAAGCAATATGTAGTATTGGGCTATTTTAGGTATGAAATTTAAATGTAGGCACTGTCTGACAGACTTCTAACAATTCTATTAACTAAAAAAATCTGCCTCAGCAACAAAGAGTTAAACTGTTGTGTTCTGCTTTCACAATAGTATGGAATATGTGACCTTTATTATAACTTCCTTCAAAAGAAAACAGACTTGCAGGCTAATTAGATTGGCTGTTTCTTTTAGCTTGCTTCATCTGGATGTTGACGATTAGATCAATGCTATCTAATTTGTGTTGATTAGGAAAAAGCCTCTTGATCCTCATTCTCTTGTATCTTTTCATGTCCTAGGTTCCTAAACCAGTTGACTACTCTTCACAACTGTGGTGAGTCTCTGTGTAGTCTTACAATCTCTTTGAAAGAAACAGTAATAAAAAGACAACAGTGTATATTACAATTTAATTCGTATTGGTTTAACCTTTCTAGGCTTCTGAAGAAGGCATTGTGTAATGGACAGTACAGCACCGTGCATTGCCCCAAAGCATTTCTGATGTAATAAAGTGCTTAATGATTTTGACATTTTGTTTAGCGGTCTGTATCTGTGCAGCCTTAGTCACAGAGGTCTGAAATAAAATAAGGAGAGACGAATATAATATGAAGTGTGCAAGTAGATCTCTCACATTAAATGAATAAAGAGAAGGAGTAATGTTAAATACACTAAACATATGCCTTGTGAATAATTCCGCATTTTCTTAAAAAAAAAAGTGAACAACGCAAACCTCTAGACACATAAAAAGACAAAGTATCAAAACTACAACCACTGCTGGTCTGGGGCTTATGTAGTGTGTGAACTCTTTACTGCTTCTCAAAAAGACGTCATGATTCTGAGAGAAAAGAATAAGCATCACATTTGTTCTTTCACTGGTTTTATACTTTGTCATTTAGACATCAGTTTTCCTCTAGTTTGCCAGAAGTCATATTAGAATCAGATCTAAACAAGTACTGATTTTTCATAACAAGCCGAATAGAATGTTTAAGATTTAAAATGGGCATTTTAAATTAAATTCTAACATTTGTTCTATTTATAGTTTTGTTAGAAGAAAGTATATCATTGGGATCAGTCTTTTTCTTCTAAGGACTTGTAACACTTAACTGAAAAATAACTTTAGGTTGAAACTTGCTGTATAAATAATGTATTTTGTGATAAACTTCAAAATGCGCTTTCCCTGGCGTGTTGAATGAAAATATTATTTCTTATTTAAAGCTCTCTTCTAATTGGTAGTGATGTATTAGTATGAAATTTTACATAGTAGTGTTCTGTGATACTGACTGCCTTTAGACCACTTTCTAAAATGGTAAAATAAGCATAATTTCCCTGAAAGCTGATTCACTTTCCTCAATTAACAGTTTAACCTCTAGTTTTGCAAATCAATGTCTGCTAACAACCTCTCATGAAGACCTACCCAGACCAGCAAGGCAGAACAAGGGTACAAATCTGCTTATGCAGTCAGACTGCAGGATCGGTGACTTATTTGTCTTAGCTTTCAACTTCTAGCAGCAGCTCTTTCAAATTTGGACATACTAGCTGCGTTTGGTTTTTTTTGCTTGTGGATATTTAGTCTACCCATTACACTTTAGCCTTCAGAGGTTATGAACAGTTATGAAACCAAATAAAATTGTGTATTTGTATAAATACCAGATTTTTGTATAAGTCTTATTTTGACCTAATATACTACTGGTGGTTGATTACCGACTGAGTTAAGATAAATCCCACTCAGGATTTATCAGGGAGTTCAAATGTTCTAGACCACTGTTTTATTGTTTCATTTGCAACACATGATTTAGAAAAATGTTTGGTTTTATGAGGTATTCAAGCCAGTAATCATTCAGGTAATGCTCAGACTCAAGTACTTTCTTTAACAGTCATTGTATTCAACACGGCACGAGTACTTTTCTAATTAAGAATTCCACCACCCCACCCCATTCCCCAGCGTGGAGGTTTTTTCATGTTTTCTTCTTCATTCAAAGATCTGGAAGTGGTATTCAGTTGCAACTGAAGTGTTTTTAGGTCCTCGACATGCGCAGAATAATGGGACTCTGCATTGCATATTTCATAGACCTTTCTTTGTAGCTTTGAAAAAATCATAGACAATTTTTATTGATCTGTGTTACAGGTTTGCAGGAGCAATGGAAAGATTGCAAGCAGAGAGTGAACTTATTAACAGAGTAAATAGCACTTACCTGGTACGGCACAGGACCAAAGAGTCAGGAGAATATGCAATTAGTATTAAGTAAGTGGAATAAGATCTTCTACAGAAAGTTTTCTTGTTCGCACTTCTGTCTAGATAATATTTGAAATAAGTAAGGAAAATAAAAACCTGTTTCAATTTGTGTAGTCATACACAGTCTTTGGGAGTCAATATAGGAAAACTGAGACAAAAAACTGACAAAAATACCCAGGATTTATAGTAGGAAGTAGCAATGGTTTTGTAATGCTGGTGTAGCAAATGGGTCTACAAAAATAATGGTCTACTATATTGGGTAAGAGTAAGCAAGTGTTTGGAGCGTAATGTGATCTGCTTCTCTGAAGTGAATGTTTCATTGTCTTCAGAGAGAACTTGTCGAAGCCCTTTGCATCTTGGATATTTCAGTAAAATGTGGATTCATAAATTCTGTGGGTGCAGATTATTGTGGGGATCTTGTTTGCTTTCATGTTGTTTATCAACATGAATATAAACATAAGATATATGGCAATTCACAATTAGAATGAGCAGACTTTTTTCAGAATACAGATTGTTTTCAGCTGTACTTCAATAAATATATTTGGTTAATTAGATGTCAACTTTGTTTTGGCACAGATATACATTTTGTTTTAAGAATTTATTTGTGTGGTGTTATTTGGGCATGTCCTCAGGTAATTATTGATTGTGTCTGATTAAAAACACATTTATATTCATAAGTTATTCATTGCCCACAGGTACAATAACGAAGTGAAGCACATCAAGATTTTAACAAGAGATGGCTTTTTCCACATTGCGGAAAACCGAAAATTTAAAAATTTAATGGTAAGCGTTGATTAGGTTTTTAACAATGTGCCATTTTCTGTGTAGCTGTTGGCTGTTAGTGAGAACTATTTTGATTTGTGAAATTACAGAATGCTGCGAGTGTGAGAGATTTTAATTATGACCATACCTACCAATAGGATATTTTTTTTATGTTTATGGTCTGTGCTCTTAAGTGATGGTAGTATGTGCTTAAAACTACATACTCATATTCAGGACTGGACTGTGTCCCTTGGAGTGATGTGGAAGAGAGTATCAATTTGAATCCCATGCATCAGCTCGGTATGGAGCTAGGCTGAATTTTAAAAGGAGAATTTGTTGTCTTTGGAAATCTTTCTCTATATAGCAATGATCCGTAAAAGCAGCCAGGTGGAGTTTCCTTCCCAGCCCAGCACGTGTGCATGTGTACTGCTGAACATAATGATGCCCAATGATGTGCAAGTTGCAAAGAAGGATAGAAGGTGCAGCTGTGTCAGAGAGCCCAGAAAAACTTGGGTGAGGCTGGTCTTCCTGGTCCTGGTATACCAGGCAAAGAAGTGCAGCTAGACAATGGGCCTGTCTGAACTGCCAAGCAGCTGTGTCAGAGAGCCCAGAAAAACTTGGATGAGGCTGGTCTTCCTGGTCCTGGTATACAAGGCAAAGAAGTGCAGCTAGAGAATGGGGCTGTCTGAACTGCCAGTAACTCAGAAATCCTTTCTGGAATAATAGAAATTTGGAGTCAGTATCGACTAGTCTAAATTAAAGCAGCTGTATGCCTGCTTCCAACTTATATTCTCTGGCAGCAAACCACTCACTAGTAATAACACAAAGCATAGGCTCTCTCATTAACTTTCACGTGAACTATAGGCATAGTTCATTCCCCAGAAATAAGAGTTTGGTGTTATAACTGCCCAGATCAATGAGTTTTCAATGATATGTCGGAGTCATCTTGTACTGGGAAGAAATTATTTTTTTTGAACTTCAGTTTGAAAGAATTTCTTGATAGCTAGTTTTGCTCAGACCAGACTCATAAATACAAGGTGTCTGAATAAATTACCTTAGTACATTCGTAAAATTTTACTGCTTAAGCATTTTTGGATGCACTGTTAAAGGAAGCTCATTCAATATATTAAATTTAGTGCAATCAATTGGATTAAAACTTACACTCCAGCCTTCCAAGTGCTCTAAAACAAGAAATAAAAATTAAGGACAATGCAAAACAAGAGTAGAGACAGAAGCTTTAAAACTAAGAAGCCTTAGAAATTATTTTAATTTAACCACTGATACAAGAGCATCCTACAAGTGGTAAAAATAAAACAGAAATCTATGCTGACCCTGTTTGAAATAAGTGCTCTCTAGAATGAGAAGAACATAAGTTTCCTGATGAAGAACGCATCATGCTGTTTCCACACTCTAATGTCTTTATCTGACTCTTAAAAAGCAGTGGTGTTTAGTGTTAGGGCTGGGAACCCTGGGATCTTATCACTGGTAGCAACAGAAATCATAGTGTTCCTCAAATGGGTAAAGGATGTGACTACTAGTCTGAGTAGAATTGGGAGCAGAAGAGAGACAAAGCCAGCAGCCGTGGAAACCTAAAGTAGTGATCTGCAGTGACACAGTGTTCTGGGCTACTTTGGAGGTAACAGAAGTAGAACAGCTCTTGTACATTGTTTCAATAGAGCATTTGAAAAACTTTCACAAGAGTAATTAAAATGTGCTGAGTGTGTAAAGCAGGCCAAGGTGCAGTGAAAGGTCAGCTTTGCTGCTGATGTGAATCATGGTAGTGTGACAGACTCCTGAGGAGCCCCATCCATGCTAGCAGGAGCTACTTACCTTACTTACCTGTTTGTAAGCTTGCTACTGTGATCTGTTCAATAAATGTTTTGGAGGCAGGAGTTTCGTTGACTCTTTACGTGGAAGAATGGTATAAAAAGCTAAAATTTAAAAACAACTGAATCTTTGTGACCCAAAGTAAGTTGTTTTTTTATTCTCAATTTGGAACCATTTCACTTTGCTGAGAAATAAAATCTGTCCAGTTGAAATTCTTACTATCTTTACCAAACCACATAATTCTTACAGACTTTTGTGGTACAAAAAGATAACAAAAGTTTCATACTAATTATTTTTCCATTTATCCAGAAATCCTACTTTGAATGCTGCTTACTTACAAATCACCCTCTCTGTTGCCTTGGTAATTTGGACGTCTGGGTAGTTGTTGATCATATGTGATTAAAAGTTTGGTTGCTGATATTGTAGCTTGCGTACTGTGCTGATACCAGACAACAAAGCCCAAACAGTTCTTATTCTCCTGGTCTTCCTGACCTTCCTGGTTTCTTGGAGTGCCTGGCAGGTCTGTGACTATGAACTGCTAAAAGCAGGTCTGGATTTTACTTAGTTCGGACTCTGACTTAACAGTAATCTTAGAGTCAGCAACAGCTCACAGCATGGGGAGTGAAGTCCTCCAGAGTTCAGAAAACAATCTTTAGACTAGTTGTCAAGATTATCAAATTATCTTCAGATCTTGTTATCAAGAACTAGATCTTGGACTAAGTTTATGCGCTAGAACTTGGACTAAATAATTTGAGAATCATTTTGCTTGGCTGGAATTAATAAATCATGAGGTAGGCTGTTGTAGGCTAATTTGTAAGTACATTGCTTTGTGCTTGCATTTTTCAAGAGTGGAATCCTGCAGTTGAAGTGTCATTAATCAAATGAAATACATTTACTTTGAGTTGTCTGGTCACTTTTTATCTTATTCTAGGCTCAGTGTACAAACCATGTGATACTGACGTTATTAGGGCTAATACAAATGTAAGAGACAATGGAAGGGGCTGAAGACTGTGAAGGAATGACAGGAGCTGTCAGTATTTTGATGGGTGTTGCCTTCTTTAGAGTAGAAACTGAAGTAACTTATCTCCTTGGTTACATAAAATAATTGTGCCAGTTTTTAATATTTTCATATATGTGTGTGTGGGTGCATATATACATAAAACTTGTGCAATATGTAAAATTCATCTCGGCATGCGTGTGTATGTATGTGTGTTTGTATGTTCATGTACACACATAGACACAGAGATGGATATTTGGATTGGGTCCAAGGAGAATCTGAAATGCTGGGCTTTTTAGTCAGTATGCACTATCTGGAAACCTCCTCCACCCCCAAATTTTAATGGCAGAGCCTTGAAGGTTTTACATGATCTGTCCTTCTGCTTATTAAGTTGATATTGACTTATGTGCTTATATGCAAGCCTTATGCTTTATTTTGGATCTGTGTACTTACAAAAGCATTTGTGGATAAACACCACTTATCATTGCAAAAGAAATTTGAGAAAACAGACAGTTACTGTTCTGTACTTAGCAAGCAGCTGACCTTGCCTTCTGCCTGACTTCAGAAAAGCAAATACGTGCTCAGCCTGGCTCAAAGGAGCAGCCAGTGTTGTCTCTGACAATAACATTGTACTTAAAAAAAACAACAAACAGCAAAAAACCCCAGTTTAGTGGCAGTGTAAAATCAGTCAGTATTTAGGATACTTAATTTTCAAAAAATAAACATGTACTGTGAGAGATTATATTGTAAAATAAGGTTACTTGTATGATACATCTGTCATTGACTGTACACCAGGATGTTGAAAAGGATGTGATTTCAATTTCCAATGACGGTAGTATTTTCCCTTTCTGAAAGGAACTCATAGAGTATTATAAGCACCATTCTCTCAAAGAAGGCTTTCGAAGTTTGGATACTACTCTTCAATTTCCATACAAAGAATCTGAAAACTCAATGGGACAAAGAAGTAACAGAACAGGTGGCAACTGTGAGTGTTATAATTTTTGTATATCATTGTAATATTAAGTAGTAAAACGACTAAGGTACTTTGAACTTCTTAATTTTCCATTTTTGACATATACCCAATTAATATGATAGTGCTTTTAGCCATGATTTTTTGAAGCTAAGCAGATTCAGATCTGCCAGGAAGTTTATAAACATGTCTACCAAGTTTGTCTTGCTGCCAAACTTAAAATCTCCCTGATCTTCAAAAAGCTATTAGGCATGCTGGTGAGAGACTAAACTTCATTCTGCCTAGTTTTTTTCAGACATTTGCATACTTACAGCTACAAGTGTTAATAATATCTGTGACAATTTCTAATCCTTAAAAAGTGACTTAAATAAGTCAGACTTGCAGCGTAACCATATGAAGTAGCATCTCAGTAATACTACATAAATTTCTCAAAAAAACCCACTAGATTTACTGTATCATAATTGTTTTTATGCCTGCCTTTTAACCTTAAATGTTTATTACAGGCCTCTTCTGAAAATTTTCTGAAATTTACTGAGCTACTGTACAATGTAAATAGCAGTTAGAAAGTTTTGAAGTTTAGAAATAAACTGAGAAGATTTACAGTGCATGTAGTATCTCTTATTTAACCTATTACAACTTAAGTGGAAGTTAGCATGATTTTAGGACATGTACAAGTTCAATGTTAATTATAAAAACTACCGCATGGCTAGACTCTGGAAAGTATATAATGTTTCTGTCAAAGGGCGAATATTAGATTTGCAGTTCTGCAGACAATGGCTGTATCTTTATACTGCAACGGATAATAAGAGGAAAATAAAAATTAATGGGGATTTTAACAATATGAAGACTGCTGTGGAAAACCATAGAGTTCAGTCTAGTCTTTGTGACTATGAAGCTGCCTGTGTTACTTTCATTTGCTCTTTGTGAGCTTTTTGTTTACTTGCTTGCCTTTGGTCCATAACATTTCTATAGCTTTGGAGACTTTCTTCCTCCTCTAATTAAAGTGAAGATAACTTAGGGCAGATGATTGTAAGAAACCAGTGTGTGTCTGTGCGTTTCATTTACTTTCTGTCTCCCAGTTCCTCTTTATTCCTTCCATTTCTGTTTTTTTTTACTGCTTCTCAGGAGTTGTGTCAGTTGTCTCCGTGCTATGCTGTATCTCAGCACATCTCTGTTCTTGGTGAATTTATCTGTCCTGTCCTTTCTTTTCCCTTTAGCTTGTGATGTCCCTTTTCTTCTCTCTTCCTCTTGCCATCTCTTGTACTTCCCTCACCCCTTGCCTCCTCACAGCATCGAGGCTTTAATTGTTTAAATGATGTGCCCTGCTTAATTTACTTTGCATTTGTTTTGGTTATTATTGGCTGTGAGCAGAACTGATCTGTTTTCTTTCGTTTTTTTTCTTAGGCCAGTTAGAATGCATCAGTACTGTCCACCAGCTTACTAGTCTGCAAGAGTGTTAGCTCAATCATTTCACGCTTTCCGGGACACAGGACTTATGGTTCATCCTCATTACTTTCAGTCCACATACAAAAGAAAACATGCCCTTTAACAAGATCTTTTAGGCGGTATATGGAAGAGCAGGAGAAACGTGTGAAAAGCTCTCATTTTAGCCAAGGTCATGAGACAGCACATCTCTGTTGCAGTAAATATCAGCCATTTAATGTTGCAAACTACAAAAAAACCCAAAACCCAGTAGTTAAAAGGAAGCCAGACAAGTCAGTTGAAGAGAAGGGGCACTTTCCTTATCTCTCTCTCTCTCTCTCATTTATTTATTTATTTATTTATTGTTGTGCAACTACTCAGTGTGACATTTACCGTATTTTAACAAACGTGGGGCTGAAGCTAGTGAATGCAATGACTTTATGACAGTTTGAAGCTAGTTTTAGGGAGGTTTTGGGTTTTAACTCAGTATTTTGTGCTATACTATACGTGTGGCTGTATCTGGATTTTTTTCAATGAGGCCATCTTTTCAAAAGACATCTTATTAAAAATAGCTCGTCTTTAGCATCCACAATTGACAGAGTAAGTGGGTAAAGTATTTCTAAAAACATGAGTTGAGCCACTGTAGACTTTGACAGAGTTGTATCATTTTCTGCTGCCAAAATCGTACAGCTGCTGTGAAATTGAATGGCGATACCAAATTAACCTCACTTACTAGAACAATGTGAGAAAGAATTCTATTAGTTTTTCTATAATTGCCACATTTTCATTTACCCATTGAAAGAAAGGAGATCAAGTGGTATTTCAGTTTACTTGTAATTTCTGATATGAATCATAATAAATCATCTTGTAGCCTCTTAAATTTTGAGGGAATTTGATTCTCCCTTCAGCAGCATCGACTAAATTTTTAGAACAAAAATCTTCATTTTATGGAGATAGTTAATTTGGCTTCCCACTTTAATTTGAACTTTGCTTTTTAGTCTCCTGGTCTTGCAGAAGTCACCCACTGTGTTCTGATATTTGTTGTACACTTTTAATGTGATTGTGAGAGCTGTCAGACATTTACTTTTCTCAATATAGAAATTCAAGTTAATTAGGAAGACTTTTGGGGAAATAGTACATTCTTTCTTCTTACTTTTTCAGTCCTAGACTTCTAGACATAATATGATCAAATTTTGTTTTGCTGCACAGATACATACTAATTCTTACATTACATTAGAGGGGTGATCGACCATTTAATGAAATAAAGGCAAAAATGGACTAAAAGTTGACATTCTTCAACAGAATAGTTTTTGGCACTTTATTCCAGTCTGCTGATGCAGAGCACAATCGTTGAGAAATCTGAGTCTTTATGAGATTTAGATATTAATGTAACCTAAATCATGAAGCCAAATACTATTTGAATGACTGTTTTTCATCACCTGTAGATAAGGAGTAGGTACATTAACTAGTTAGATAACATCATTCTACTGCTTAATGCATTAAATGTGTAAGAGTGTCTGTTAATTAAGTAAAATAAAACTAATGTCACCCCAACCCTTAAAGAAAAAAGAATAATAACCCAGCCTTTCTCCTTAAAAGCCAACACCAAACCCCTTATCAATGACATTTAAAAATAGACTAGTTATCTGTAGAAACCTAGTAGGATTTTGTTGCCCACATAGGTTTAGTTGTCCATAATTTCACACATGATACCAAACGTCCAGTTTTATTAGAAAGAAAAATTCTCAAAAAATTACAATAATGTATGCAGCAGCCACCCCCTATATAGCACCTAACCTGTCTTTATTCCTGCATACTACTTTTCTACACTATTTTTCTGCTTCTGTAGGAAAAAAAGGAAGTTACTTATCCCTAAGAATGGGCACACTACTTCAGTTAAGTTGCCCTTGTGGTTTGTGTAACATATTTCCACATAGAGGTGTCACCTGGGGTCACTAGCTCCAGTGTAAGCAAGTTCCTTAGGTTACCTCGTGCATTCTCAGATAATCCATTCAGTATCTGAGGTAGAGAAAGGGTTCACTGTGAAGCATCAGAAGGGAGTTTATGGTGTGCAAGAAGCCCTGGAGTATGTTTACTTTGTATTATTCTGAGATACTAACCTAAACTGCTGTTATTTTGTGTTGCATGGTGTTTTTGTTATTTGTTTGTTTTTGTTTTCAACAAATACCCATAGCTTAGGAACGTTAAAATACAGTATCGGTCCTGTTTAGTTTATTTATGCTGATAGTTTCATTGAAAACAAATGAAACAACAAACAAATCTATCCTTATCCAGGTAAGATGCACAGAGTTTATTCTCTGTAAGTTCCTTGTATAAAATAGTTCTAGTAATCATTCCTGCAAATAACCATTTTGAAGCAAAGTTTTGTTTCATGTGTAGTCACATGAGTAAATTCAGGTAAACAGCTGTATGTGATGAATAAAATCCTGCTACGTTTTTAAGGAACACTCTTGGTGAGTAATTATAGACATTATTAGGCATAATGTAGAGGCTACATTATCATTTATCTAGTTGAGGATGGACTTCCCTTTCCCCAAATCACAGCTGGGAGCGAAGATCCCAACTTTATTAGACTTTGTACAATAAATATCTTCATTGCCTCTTTGAAAGAAGGCCAAAATGCAAAAACATGTCAACAAGCTGTAGTTCCATTTGAAGCAATTTTAGTTCATTTCATATAGTTTTGTGTTTAAAAATATATTGACCCTGGGTTTGTTGGCAATAGAGCAAGTGTACCTCTAACCTTTCACCTGAGGAAGCTGTTAGAGGGACTAGGATGATGTATGGGTTCTGCCTAGGCCAAACGTACACTTTTCTTTGCTTGGTCAAGATTTTTATCTCAAGTCAGGGAAAACTGCAAGGATGAACAATAATGTTGGGACCTTATAGGATGTAGTTCAGCTGTGGAATTCCTATCGAGGTTAATGATCATCAGGGCAGAATGCATATTTTGTCCCATGCATATTATGAGACCCCAGTTCAACTGGAACTAGACTATATTCCTAATTAAAAGTGTGTGACTGGCCTTCCTGGGCTCAGGAGGAATTCTTTTGTATGCATGAGTTCCTGCTCTTGTGCAGTTAAGAAGTGGGGCACATAAAATTAAAGAAGAAAAAAAAATGTTAAACTTGAAAATACTTGAGAGAGTTTGTGGTTATAATTTGCTTCTCTGAAACCCTGAATGAGTGCCTTCTTTTTACTTTACTCTTTGAAAAATGCAATTGTTAAAAATTAAATCATAGATCCAAATTTTCTAGTTATTATAGTCAATTTCCTTCCAGACATCCTTAGTAGGGAACCTTAGTTTCCTTATTATCAATGAATTATATAGTTAAAAAACTATTATTTAAATCTTATGCCAATATTTCAATGTTCTTTTGCTTTTCTCTTTTTCTCTTTCTTTCTCTAAGCCCCTTCTTTGTTCTGTGGGTTTTCTTTTGTATCTCCTCCAGACTACAGCTTTGTTCCCCCTTCTTCCACTCCTTTCTGGTCAGGTACTGCTTTACTGCTTTTATATTTCTTCTAAATTTGCTTCTGTTGTTTCTGTGTGCAGCAAGCGGGGGAAGGGACGA